TGGATCATCAAGTCTAGCTGCTGTCAAGGAGGCACAGTGGGGAATCGAACTCCTCACCTCTGGCTCTGCAGCCAGATGCCTAAGCCACTAAACTATCCAGCAGTTTTGCCAAAATGAGTAGATCTAACTGCTTAGAAATAGCTGAAAAAACCCAGATATAAACATATTTACCCATAAACTATCAGAAACAGATTAATTCAATATTTAGAAATAGACATCAGTTTATGCCAGAATTTTATCAGATACAATAATAAGCTACTTTTAAAAGCAGTTAAACATTTCCTTGGGTAGTGAAGTACAAAAGTACTCTAGAATAAAAAATTAAAGTTACACTAAAATAAATATTTTGCTGTACTGGCATTATCCAGAATTCCAAAAATGCCTCCTTCATTTCATTCAACAACAAGATACATACTTTCTGACTCAATTCATGTCAGTGAGAAAGATCTAAATTAGCTCATGTCTGCTTTGGCTCCACAGGGATAAAAAATTGTTTATACCAGCATTATATGAAATGATATCATCCTTTTATTTCTATTTACAATTCTGCCAAAATATCCCTTGTGTCCCACAGAGCAGTCTATTGACAGCTGTGTCAATAACAAAGTGCAAAACAAAAAATATTGAACATGAGAATAGAATAATGCCTTCTCTAAGAAGGCTTTTCAAATGTATTGTTGTGCCTTGTTGCTTTAAATGTATTGTAGAATTGATTTTATTTACTGTTTTCAATATAACATTTAATTCTTTTTAAATATTTGTGTACTTACTATTTTTAGCTTTTAAATATTGTGTTTTAATGACGTCAGCTGCCCTGGGTGCTTTTTAATCAGAAACACAGGGTAAAACTATTTTAAATAGAATAAAATAAATGAAATGGTTGGGTGGGTGAGTGGAACCAGTAAAAAAATCTTTCACTCGGGCAGACAGAAGACATAACAGGAATCCAGCTATCTCCTTCAGCTGATGGAATTGTTTCCTCCAGAAAACTGACTGTCTCTACATGTCCTCCAATTCTGCTCTATGCCATTGCTGAACCTACTGTCTGCATGACAGATTTACCCATTTAACTTAATTTTGCTTTGGAAAGACACCCAATCCCTCTCTATTATGAGAAACCAGGATCACTTATTTTAGCAATGTGCATCCCTGATCCCCAACCTAGGATATACTTTCTCTACACTCAATCCACCATTGCAACCAGGTAATCCAATATTTCAACTTCAGATGGTGGAGCAGATGCTCTGCATTCATAAGGTTCTAGTTTCAACTCCTAGCATCTCTACCTAACAGCATTTTGATTATTTACTTCTTTATTTGACTTTTATCTTGCCTTTATCCTCTAGTGGAGACTCAAGGTGGCATACACAGATTTAAAATAAAAAAATTAAAGCCAATTAAATGTTAAACCAAAGTATACAAATATCTTTACAAATATTTTAAATCTATAAATTGGATTTTAAGATCTCTACATCTCAGTTACCTGTTGACTACCCTGAAGCGTTTTTGAAGATGAAACATTTCAACTGAAATGTTTTCAGTTGCTGGCAGAAGGAAAGGAGGGAAGGGGTCAACCACACCTTGCAAGGAAGGGAGTACCATAATCTAGTATCTTCCACAGAAATGCTTCCTTCCCTCCTTATGTTCAGGGAATTGTTGAAAACATAACTATTCAAAGTTGCCTTCAACAACTAAGTCTCCCAGATGCTGTTAATATTGATATTTTTTTTCTTATTTTCTGTTTATTGCTATATTGTAAGGTAGAGGAAGAACAAATACAAGATGGATTGACTCCCTAAAGGAAGCCAAGGCTTGAGTTTGCAAGAGCTGAGCAGAGCAGTTGAGGACAGGACATTTTAAAGATCACTCATTCATAGAGTTGCTATAAATCAGAGGTGACTCAAAAGCATATAAAAACAACAACAAATTATTATGTAGAATCTGGAGGATTTTTAAGTTTTAACTTAGAAATGCCCAGTGTGCACTAATGGGGCAATTAACCAATCAAAACTCTCTCTCAAGTCATCACCAGGCATACTTACAAAAGTGGTGAGACTAAGAGAAGGCTCTCACCTGATGATATTAATACATGTGTGGGCTTATGCAGGGAGATACATTCCTTCAGATATCGCTGAGTGGCAGTTAAAAAAGAACTCTACCTAGTCAGAGTTAACAGTATTTGGCTAAACAGACAAATAGCTGTCTTAGCTGGAATACTGCAGCTTACTATGTTAACCATGTGGAATTTGCCATGCTACTCTATCAATGGTTCCTACTTGTGATTGGTAGATCACAGCAATTCTACACACATTCACCTATAAATCACAATGAATCCAGTCATTCATAACCACCTTTTCACCAACAGAGAAAAATAAAAATAAATCCTTGTAATGCCAAGATGAATACTCTTCACCTCCCCACCCCAAAAAAGAAAAACAGACCTGGCACATCTCTACCAACTGCTGTTCTGAACAAGCCTTCCAACCTGTCATGTCATCCCTAGTTTCCTTTCTAAAAACACAGTTTACTGATGGAAAAACCAACACAAATAATTCAGCTCCACAAAACTTTATGACCCAGAAACACATTTACAGCAGCACCTTCTGTAGAGAAACCACAAGATGCATCTCAAAGTCACAATTTAATATACCTGTTTCGTATACAGCTAAACCTCTCAAACAAACCTATTAAAAATATCTCGACAAATTCTAGAGCTACAAAGCCATTTTCATTTAATAGTTTTTAATTTATAACTTTACTTCTGTATTTTAAATGCATGTAAAAGCAGTCCTGCTGTATCAGACCAGTGACTTCTAAGAAGCCAACAAGTATGCAAATGACCACTATCTAGATATATACTTTCTTTGATAATGGAGAGAAAAATGTATCAATCACTAGTAGGAGCCATTGATAAATAAATCTTCCATCAATCAATCTATCTAGTGTCTCTTCAACCTTTCTAGAGCCAACAGCACACTTGGTGAATTGTGCATGTCAACTGAAGTATGGACAAGTGTCAAAGTTCCTCACCCAAGAATTTAAAAAAACCCAACAATTCATTTTGCCTGCATAAACTTTAACAGCATTATTCCCCCCACATTTCAATATCCATGTGATATATACTACTATCAATATCATTTTATAAGATGGAACTGAGAAAGAGGATAGCTTGCTCAAAGTCACACAACTAGTCTGTAGCACATCTCATGTTTTGTAGACCTAACTAGACATATTGGATGACATTTGCTTTATCAGAACATCACCCATCACTTTTTAGGCCAGGACCCCAGAAAATCTACCAAAGTACACCAAGAGAAACCAATGGTTATAATTCATAATGTCTTGTCCCATCTACAACCAACAACTCCTCTGCCTTCTGAAAATCAACTTTAAAGAAACCAGTTATATGTTGGGCTTGTAAATAGACAGGCAAATCTCTGATTGCCATGAGAACAGCTGAATCCTATTAAATCCCTGTTCAACTAGGAGTCTTCGCTCAGGTTACTGCCTTAAAATACTACCAATAAATACTTACAATTTAAACTATTAAGCATTACCACTGTTAAACAGCACACTATTATGCACATAATTCTGAGAACAGCAAAGAGAGAACTGGGTGCGGGATGAAAATTAACAGCCTGCCTAATGCTGTTAATGAGTTTGTAACAAAGACATGAGCTGTAGCAGAAACTACTTGATTCACCACTTAGTCCCTTAGCAGTTATTGTGCTCTAGTAGTAACAGCCAATCTCTAGAGGCAACTGTAAGACAAGAGCAGCATTCTGCAAAAGGGATAAAACATAATATTAACTACAGAGAATTTCTCCCAGAAGGCCCACTACCTTCCTCCTATGGGTAGCACCTATTCTGGAAATTGATTTCTTTGTTTTAAAACCACTCTGCCCATGGCTTGCAATAGATAATTCACTTTTGAGAAGGACTCCTGTGTTAATTGTTAGATGACAGTGATGGCTGGAAAACTTACAGTACTACACTCCAAAGTACTGGACACAGGGCCTTGTCTGAGAGCACCTGACACCACAACCTTGCTGAAAATAAACAGGCTTGAGTCCTAGTGCCACGAAGGAAAGACCACCTAGAACTTCCATAGCTTGAGAACACCAAAATTTTAACAACCACCGAATAGGTACCTCGAAAGATAGAAGCTACTGCCCACCATACTGGTTACAATTCAGCATTTCTCAGGGAAATCTCCTGCGTCCACCCAGTTACAAGAGCAGCCCTTCAGAACCAGGTAAAGGTGGGAGTTCTGCCCCTCCAAATATTTGGTGCTATAATCCCCTTTAAAACTGGCCATGTTGGCTGGATCTTCTGGAAAGTGACATCCAAAACAACTGGCAGTCCAATAGTTCTTCTCGCTAGAATCCTGTTTCCAGCAGGGGCCTTCCAGGGTACAGTAATTTAAGGGATCCTGTAAACATCGTAGGAAAGCCCAGTTTCCGGCAGCTGTTTAGCCACCGGCTTCTGGTATTATAAAAAGACAGACCGTTGAAACAACTTCCTCCCCAGGCAGGCATGTATCAGCATTATTCTCTTCTTTAATACGCTTCCCGTAGGGGCCTCATGTGGGGCCAGAAGGGCGGCACAAAAAACGTGGCAAATTAAGAAATAAACACCACGGGACCTTCTCCCTTATTCTCAGCCTCCCGCCCCAGAGAGAAAGAGGCTGCCCTGGCTCTATCGTGCCACCTTACTGCAGAACCCCCGCTTCTCCCCGTCCCGGCCGTCGACGCATCAGGGGCTCCCGCTGCCTGAGCTGCGTTACTCCTCAGGAAAGACACCCCACAAACCGCCCGAGGCCGCCGCCCCTCGGGCCCCAGACACACCCAACCGGCGAGCCCGGCTTCTAAAGACATCCTCTGGCTTGTCCCCAAGAGAAGCGAGCTCCTCAGGCTTCGCTCTCCTTCCCCTCTCCGCCGGAGGACGGCCCTCCCTGCCACAGGCCGGGGCTCGCCTCGGCTGCCCGGTCCCCAGCTCACCCGATCCCGTGGTGGCCGCCATCTTGCGCCGCTGTCGCTGCGAGCCCGGCCTCCCTGCCGCCTACGTCACCTCAACGCGCGAAGTGGTTTGGCGGCGAGTGGCTGGGAGAGGCGGCGCGGGCGGGCGCCGGAAGGCAAAACCTCCGAAGCCATTCTGGGAGGCTGGGCTGGCAAGCAGAGCGTCTCCCCGTAGCTAGGGGCAGCGCAGGGTCTTCTTTTAGTTTGTTGGTGCAGTCATTTTACTATGGAAATACATACTCTCGGGAGGGCGAAACACAGGCTTGGATTTCTAGCGATTTTGCTGTACGTTATTTACAGAGGAGACGGAGTCAGAGGACTTAAGCGGAGGCTAGCCGACTTGGGGCACTTCATAAGAAGAGAAAGCTGTTTTAAAAAGGTAACAGTGCAGAGAAAATGTGTATTGGGCACATGAGAACGTACGATTCCCTGGAAACGGTAATAATGAAGGCAACAGAAAAAGAGGATAGATTAACTCATTAAAGGAAACCACGGCTTTCAGTTTTCAAGACCTGAGCAGGGCAGTTAACTCATTAAAGGAAACCACAGGCTTCAGTTTTCAAGACCTGAGCAGGGCAGTTAAATATAAAACCTTTTAGAGGAGAACTAATAATTCATAGTATTTGACAGCACTTAACAACAACAAGCAGGCAAAGAAATTTCTTTTCAGTTAGGGTTTCTTTTAGTGACTGGCTGACTAAGGGCATTTCTTAACAGGGCTGTTGCATTTCTGTTATTGTTGTATTTTTAATAGTGCTTTTATCTATGAGATTTAACTTTGGTTGTTTATTTCTTTTTTTAAATATTGTAATAATTTGTTTTTAGCTTTTACATTATTTATTTTTTTTAATTCTGTAAGCAAAGCAATCTTGGATTCCCTCACCTCCGACAAGGCACCTGGGAAGGATTATATCCCTGCTGAAGTGCTGTAAAGAGATCATCACCACTGAGCTAAATCTTTTGTCTTTCCTGGAGTGAAGGTGGAATACTACAGGACATGAAGGCAAAGCAATCTTGGATTCCCTCACCTCCGACAAGGCACCTGGGAAGGATTATATCCCTGCTGAAGTGCTGTAAAGAGATCATCACCACTGAGCTAAATCTTTTGTCTTTCCTGGAGTGAAGGTGGAATACTACAGGACATGAAGGATGCAAACATCGTCACATTGTGTAAGAACAAAGGCAACTGCAGTAACTACCAGGGCATCTCTCTTCTCAGGGTTGCAGGGAAGCTGCTTGCCCCTGTTGTGCTGAAGAGAGTCCAGGTCCTTGCAGACAGAGTCTATCCAGACTCACAGTGTGGATTTCGAGCTAATAGACCCACCACTGACATGGTATTTTCCCTTAGTTACAGGAGAAATGTAGGGAACAACAACAGCCGCTCTTTGTGGCCTTCATAGGTCTTACAAAGGCCTTTGATTTGGTTAGCAGGGATGGCCTTTTTAAAATACTTTCTGTAGCATTCACCCTTATTATGTTAAGTAGTCATGCATATTCATGTTGCAGGCTAAGGTTGCTAAGAAGCGGAGTTGAGAGATATGTAATAAAGAGGCGGAGTCAGAGAGTGAAGAGTCAGTGAGAGGAAGAGGAGTGATCAGAGTGGAGATATAGAGTGTGGTATTTGGGAGAGTTGAGGTGTGATTAGAGTGAAGAGTGAATAAGAACTGTATAACCTATAGAAAGTTGAGATTGATGATCAGTAAACCTGTAAAAGTTACCTATGATTAATAATCAAACATCTGTAATCAATAAAAAAAGTTTTATTTAAATGACAGTGACGTTTGGACCTGCATCTCATCCTTCCATAAGTAATGTTGATTTAGTGATCAACTGGGGACAGCAGGTGAAAAGGAGTATTAGTTTGCCTTTGTGTGCTCTGTGTTTGGACGGTCAGGCAGGGGCCACGAGGGGCGAACGCCACACTTCCCAAGATGGTATGTCCACCTTGACTCCTTAACAACATCAGGTCCTTTCATGAGGAAATGAAGGGCACTGTAGTTTTTGGTGGTTCAACATCAGATCCCTTTGACATCCGAAGCGGAGTGAAACAGGGCTGTGTCCTTGTGCCAAAACTGTTTGGGATCTTTTTTGCTGTCATGCTGAAGCACACCTTTGGAACTGCAACAGAAGGTTTCTATCTCTGGACTAGATCAGATGGAAAGCTCTTTAATCTCTCTATATTGAGAGTGAAGAAGCCAGATTTCCATTGAATATCAGGAAAAACTTCCTAACTTTTAGAGCAATATGACAGTGGAACCAGTTACCTTGGGAGTTGGTTTGTACTCAAACACTGGAGACATTGAAGAAAAACTTAGATAATCACCTGGCAGATATGCTTTGATTGTATTCCTGCATTGAGCAGGGGGTTGGGCTTGATGGCCTTGTAGGCCCCTCCAAACATCACTTTTCTATGATTCTATGATTTTATGGTATCAGGAAGTTCTGTGTGTCAATCTTGACACCCTCTTTCTAAATGTCGAGCTGGATAAACACATTGGCAAAGCAGCTACCATGTTCTCTAGACTGACAGAGTATGGCTTAATAAGAAACTGATGGCGTATACTAAGATCCAGGTCTATAGAGTCTGTATCCTGAGTACACTCCTGTACTGCAGTGACTCTTGGACCCTTTGTGCATGGCAGGAGAGGAAGTTGAACATTTTCTATATGCATTGTCTCTGACATATTTTTGGTATCACTTGGCAGGACAAAGTTCCAAATACTGTAGAGTAGTCCTAGAATGAGCTAGAATTTTTAGCATGTACAATACATTACTGAAACAGTGGTGTCTACATTGGCTTGGGCACGTCGTGAGAACGACTGATGGTCGGATTCCAAAAGATCTCCTGTATGGAGAATTAGTGCAGGGAAATCGCCCCAGAGGGAGACCACAGCTGCGATACAAGGATATCTGCAAGCAGGATCTGAAGGCCTTAGGAATGGACCTCAACAGATGGTAAACATTGACATCTGAGCATTCAGACTATAACGGCCAGCTCTTCCTAAAGAGAGTATGGGGTTTGGACAGAGAGTCACTTTGGAGACAAATCCACCACCCTTTCCTCTGAGACAAGTCCTTTAATCCTCAGTTCAGCCTGTAATGGCCAGCTCTTCCTAAAGAGAGGACTGTATGGGGTTTGGACAGGGAGTCACTTTGGAGACAAATCTTTTCCTCTGAGACAAGTCCTTTAATCCTCATAAGTGCATGAGATCTGTTCCATGGACAAGCCTGACCTTAAAATAACACTTTGCTTTATTTTTTAAAGTACTTAAACATAGGCTTCGTGAATCCTCAGAACTCACAACAGCTCAGTAAGGTAGAACTTCTCCATGGTAGCCAGTTGGTGACCTTTTCCAATCCTCTGCATTTAAGTATAACCCTGCTGTTCCAGGAGACTAGTCCTCAGTTCAAATTTTATAATTATTTTTATGAAGAAAATACTGTATAGATTCATAGAAACAGTTTGTTTGCCAAAGCAGTAGCATAAAACATGTCCAAAAATTCCAATAGTTAAATAAAGCTGCTATTTCTTATTAAAATAAATAGCAGCTTTATTTAACTATTGGAATTTTTGGACATGTTTTATGCTACTGCTTTGGCAAACAAACTGTTCCTATGAATCTATATTTTCCTAATAAAAATTAATTATAAAATCTCTACTGAGGACTAGTATCTTGGATAATCCATTTGAAAACTCTCCAAGCTTGAGCAGCTAAGAGAAGCTCTCAAACACATCCTATCATCCATCTTTTCTTACATTCCTAACACCTCCTTCTTCTTCACACTCCATAGCTGTAAACCAGTTAACTTCAAAGAGGCTTAACACAACTCTCCACCCAGAATTCTCATGAAGATCCAGGTGCATTATCTTCTCCCAATTAGTATGGTATGTGTTGAGTCTTCATGCTGGACTGGGCCTCCCTCGTCTTTGTCTTGTTATCACAGTTCTCAGGCAAACTGGAAAACAGTTTCACAGCCTTCGTAACACATTCCAATGCCTTATTATCATTTTACTTTGAACCTAACACTCCCATTTCTGACTACAAATCTCACTCTCCTTCAGACAATCACACAGCCTGGAGGCAGGCAATGGAGCACAGCCTCTCCCAATTTAAAGAGACACTTGTTTTGTCTTGTTATCACAGTTCTCAGGCAAACTGGAAAACAGTTTCACAGCCTTCGTAACACATTCCAATGCCTTATTATCATTTTACTTTGAACCTAACACTCCCATTTCTGACTACAAATCTCACTCTCCTTCAGACAATCACACAGCCTGGAGGCAGGCAATGGAGCACAGCCTCTCCCAATTTAAAGAGACACTTGTTCAGCAGGCCGCAGCACAGCCTCTCCCAATTTAAAAAGACACTTGTTCAGCAGGCCGACGCAAAGGCGCAGTTTGTTCCCTCTATTCAGAGCACATTACCATAGTCTTTCGAGACTGAAAGATGCCTACAGAAGCCACTTGGGTCCTTTTTAGGAGAAAGGCAGAGAAAAACATTTCAAATAAATACAAATATTTATTGCTTATAGTCAATCAGGCTGCATGCAAAAACAGAAATTAAACTACAAGAAGACGGTAGAAACCTGGGCAAATTACCAAATTGCGAAGCAAGATGAGGATTGTTTTATGTTATGTTTTGTTTTTTCTTTTCTTAAGAAGAGCATACAGAACTCAAGAGGGGAGTAGTACTGTCCTGAACATTAGTATACTATAAGCAAATATATTTATAGCACAATGCTTTTGATGTCTGCCCTAGTGGGATTAAGTCTTCATTAATGAATGATAAAATCCTATCTATCTACTGGCTGGTCCTAGAGTTTGTATTAGAAATCCTAAATTGGGGTTTTATATGTCAGTTATGGCAGTGTGTATCACAGAAATATAGAAATGCAGAGCTGGAATTTATTTATTTATTCCATTAATACCCCACCTATCTGGTCATTTTGACCACTCTGGAAGAGTCACTGAGTCCAATCCCTTGCCAGGTCAGGAATCCACAGGGATTGCATCCCTGACAAAGTTTGAACATCTCCAGTAAAGGAGCATCCATCACTATGTTTATGTCTAAATGGCCAGAATC